GCGGCCCAGCCCTAGTGGCTAGACTAAGGTCATTAACGGAGGTCTTAGCAGCTCCAACTGGAACCCATTCCTGAGAGCCGTTATTAACCTTCTTGTTTGCTTGCGTAGATTTTCCTCCATTTGCTGTAACTTTCCCCTTCTTAGTATCCGATTTACCTTTCTTATTTTCGGGTTTGTGATTCCCCTTTCCTTTCCCATCGTTTACGCTCATGTTGCCGAGATTAGCGCCCTTGGACGATCCCATAGTTTTGGTCTTCTGTTTGCCCTGATTGGCAGGCTTTTCCTGTTGATTTCCTTTTTGGGTACCTTGACTGTTGCTGGCTTTCCTAATTGATTTGCGAGATTCACGCACCACCTGGGTCCAAGGACCATAGCCGGCCGGCGGCTCTGCCGGCGAATCGATGTGGATGCCGTCGTTCGCTGGTTGTGATATCACCCCTGAGCCTGGTTCTGCAGTAGTGTTATTCAATTTCGTTGGGCAGGTCTCTTCCGTGTGGCCGATTCTTCCACAATCGAAGTAGATTTATGGAAGGTTCTCATACAGCACTTGTTGCCAGAATACGTCCAGGCGGATGCGAGTCGGGAGTGGTTTCGTCATGTCGAGTTCTACTGTGATCCTAGCAAAATTCCCTCTTTCAAGCATCTCTGTGTGCAGTTCTGCCTATGAGATTTCCCAGGGCGAACAATACTTCCCGGTGGTAGAAGTGTACAGGGAGCTCCGGCAATTGAACCCAAGCGGTGACTGATTTGTGGATCTTGTCAGAAGTCCTGAACTTTGGTGATCAGGGGTGTACCACGAGGTAATGGTCGAGGATTTCCCATGGTCCGCCCGTTAAAGCCTTGAGGTAATCTTGATCATTGGAGAACGTTACCAGGAACGTCTCGTTGTTGAGATCCATGATGTCCATTGATCCAATCAGACACCATTTCCATCTGAGCTATGAACACAAGTAGTTGTACGGAACCGATCGATCAATCAACCGGATAACTAGCGTCTTCTTCCACGGGGTATAAAGCCTTTCTTTAAAGTTATCTGAGACTTTCAGTTATGGTTCCCCCGCAAAGGAGCCGCCCACCATATCATGTTCGCCAACAAAGGTCCATCAATTAGCAGTGGTTCTTGAATCACGACCTTGTTCTGACAGTGCTGACTTGTAGTTCAGCGACGGAAAATTGGATGGATTTGCCAGAGACGTCTCAGTAGGCTCGACGGGGACCATTGTCTTGGATGTGGGAGCTGCGGAAGAATCTGGGAGGGTGATGGCATCCGGCGGACGACCAGCTTGGGCAGCCACCGACACTGAGGACGGAACAACGGTATGCGTTTTAGAGAGCATTCAGAGAGCCCTATCAATTTAGTCCTAAGTAAAATGACCTTGATGTTATTTCTTGGATTCAAGTATAAATGTTTAGGTATTGACATTAAATGTCATGTTTAAATATGAGTATTTATAATTTTATTTGTAATATTGTCTGGCATGAACCGACACAAATCGGTATGTGCCACCGGTCGAACCATTCCACTAGCTAAACCGGCACACTGGCATAAACCGGTTTGACAACCTTGGTTTTTTCCCTCATTCTAATTTCTTGGCAGTAGTAGGTTCTCAGAACTAGAAGTAGTTGTAGTTGCCGGCTCAAGATAGGGTGCATAACCATGGGTTATGCACCTATCAATAATCATATCTGGACCATTTATTTAGAATTTCAGACCTAAGGAAGGAAAATTAAAGACCATTTTTATTTTTTCTAGCTTTCTTAATTGACTCATATCTTTTTCGTTTTAACTCGGATTTTAATTTTTTTTGCACAGATGGAACGAGTTCATCGTGCTCTACAATATGAGATCAATTTTCAATATTTTTTTAGAAAAAAAAATTCTGGCCTCTCGGTACCAACTGCATACCATATGGTATCTTCTTCGTTTTTAATTCATTTTTGAAAAAGTTTGCACAGAAGGGACGAGTTCATCATGATCTATTGGATCTACAAATTTCTGGGTGAACAAATTACAGGACCAAAAAATACCACACAATACCATACAGTACCACCCTGGTACGGGGTGGTATTGTATGGTATCTTCTTCATTTTTAATTCGTTTTTGAAAACGTTTGCACAGAAGGGACGAGTTCATCATGATCTATTGTATCTACAAATTTCTGGGTGAACAAATTACAGGACCAAAAAATACCACACAATACCATACAATACCTTGGTACGGGGTGGTATTGTGTGGTATACAATGTTAAAAGTCGTAAATGACAATTAATATATTTCTACTATCATGTATTCAACCATTCTACAGTCTTGGTTTGTTCATACCACCATGGTACATTTTTCAAACCATAGGTATGCTTTTATTTCAATACCAATTAATACCATATGGTATAGACTGGTAAAAAATGGCTCAAATTTTTTTGTTCGGAAAATATATTAAAGTGGATATCATTTTGAAGAGCACAATTAATCTGATCTAACTGTGCAAAAAAAATTAAATTTCGACTTAAAATGAGTGAGAAATCGTCCGTCAAAGATTAAAGAGGGGAAAATTAAAGGCTTTCCAGGAGAGAGAGGATGCTGATGTCATGCTTATGTGGACGGATTACTCATGGTTACTCACCATAAGGTTACTGACCTGATCCATTCCCGTAGTTGCCTGCTATAGAAAGCCATGTTAGACGACTGTTCTAGCTAGAAGTTGAGGCTAGATCGAAAAAGACAATGCGAAGATGCTTCTACTACCGATAGGTTAAGCCATCTTCCAGGACCCATTGATAGAACTCGAGCCGAGCTCTACCTAGGGATTAGGGATTAGGATCAACTAGGGATTGATCCGGGGATTTGGGAAACGGAAAGAGGAGTGGATTTGGGGTTGGTGAAGAGAAGAGGAGGGGAAGGAGGTTGCTGCCGTGGCAGCCGAGGAGAAGGGAAGGGAGGAGGGCTCGGCGGCCAAAGGGAGAGAGAGAGGAAGATTAACAGTAGGTTTAGGTTTAATCTTGCTTAGTGGTCTAATTTCACTTACAAGTGATTTATATAATAATTGGATAATTTTTTATCGCTATCCGACATATAATTTATTTCCCAATTCCCGAAATAGTCCCAATAATATGAAATAACAATAATCCGATAATTAATAAAAATACTAAATACTAGTTTCTATCACCCATTCTTTGTCGCATTCGTTCATTTCTCGACACCGAATCCGTCGTGTCGTTCGAACCTCTGTATTGTCCCGGGCATGGAGGAGCGTGTGGAAAGATGTACTTGTCCTCCATCTTCATCGAGGTTCCTTCGGAGATGCTTCGAGTTTCGAAAGGTTTGTGTCGAAGGTTGTGACCCTCCGCAATCACCTTAATCTCCGCACGGTTAGCTAAATCGATGATGGACGGCCGTGGAAAAGGAAACATAGGAGCATGTTTGTTAAGGTCGTTAAATATGTCCGCGTCCTGTGAGGCTGAACATTTGATCGTTAACATAGGAAATGATCGGACTCTCGGGTATTGTTTCAAGCTCTCCTATTTATTTGGCTCAATGTTGGGGAACTGCAATTTGAAGACCCTGGAATTGAGGTATGTCACTCTCGATAGCGGGTTTGGGTGGTCTGGTTTGCAAATGCTGATGACATTGACTGTGGACATGTGCCTGCTGGATACCGATCCGGAGTATGATCTGGATCTTTTCTCTAACCTACCTAGTTTGATGAATCTAGCCATGTCCAACTGCTTCCATCGTGATGATAATGTCGTTGGGGGTATCAAGATACATGGGCCCCAACTGCTTAGCCTGACATTGGACTTGTTGGAGACGTTCGAGATTGAAATATTTGCTCCAAAACTCAAATTCTTCAGTCTTTCTCCAAATATTTATGTTTGGTTATTACTCGTCGTGGCTTTCTGTTTGGTGATTTGAGGATTCTCCTTTGCTGGGGATGTACTTGGACATCGGGTCGTACCGCCCACGGGCTAGCACGTCACGACACGATTAGAGTATGGCACGAGCACGTGCACAAAATAAATGGGCCAGTCCGGTACGAGCACGAATAATTTATGGGCTGTGCCTGGCCTAAACTTCATGAGCACGGGCACGAGCATGGACATGGCACGGTATATAAGTGGGCCGTGTTAGGCCTAATATTTTCGAGACTTTATTGAGTATAAGAACAAACATGACACAAAAATAATAATTATTTGATAGAAAATAAATATAAAAAGAATTATAGGTTCAAATATTACAAATTACAAGTAGAAAAACAATTATTTGTTATTGTTAGAAGTGTCATAAAGATATATACGTAATTACTACCATAAGTAAAAATGGACGAAGAATTAAACAAAGCCAAATCACACTCGCTATACTTCCAATTTTCTTTTCCACCTTATTTGTTACTTTTCTCAAACATTATCGGTTAATACTATCTTTCACCGTCCAATTTTCACCATCTTTTTCATTCTCTCTTTTGTTTTCTTCATTTTCATTAAACACGAATACGAGCATGACACGAGCACGAATAGGCACGACACCTTTCGAACTGTGCCCGGACCTGGGCCGGGCCTAATAAAGTTAACAAATGGGCTTGCATGGCACGACACGAAAACTGACGGGTCATGCCAAGCACGGCACGAAATAAATGGACCCAAAGCGTGCCCATGCCGTGCCGGCCCAAGCACGGCCCAACCCCATGTACAGCTGGGGACGTTTGTCTTCTCCTCTCTTATTCATTTAAGATGTGAATTCCTTTTTGTTGATTCTTTTATGACCCAGGATTGACAGGTACGCTAATCTTTCCACTAGTTCTAGTTCCAGTCGACTGATTGGAGTTCTCTGCTGAGGTGAGTTGTTGACTTAACCTTTACTGCGAGCTGACGCTCATTGCTTCGTTCTTTATATCTGTTTTCCCTCCGTCATTGATTCGATCTTTGGGCTTCAATTCCTTGGATTTATCTGGGCCTATTTACCATAGAGGTCTCTTTATACACAGCCCACAGGGATAATAACAAAGGATGAAGAAACCGCCAAGTTCAATTTCCCGATTTCCCAAATCTGAATTCAAATTTCACTGCATCGTCTCCGCTTCCAAAGTGGAAACCCTAAGTTCGGTGAAATGCCGAACGTAGCGTTTGTTGATCGGATCAAATTGTCGTAGTTTCCTCGTTTCTTTTGGCGCGGGATCACACGGCAGCGAGAACTTCCACAACGGCAATCAAGCACAGGTGAATTTCCAGCTTGTTGTTTCCTTTCTTGCTCAATTTCGGTCTGATAATTTTTCTTGCTGTAGGTAGAATTGAGTTCATCTTCAGTATCCTCCTGTAGAAACTAGAAAGCCATGAACAACAGCAGTAGCTACGAGGTGGGGAAAGCTGTAAAAAGGCGCCGTAATGAACAACAACAAGAAGAAGAAGAAGAAGAATACAGTATTACTACAACTGACAGGTTAAGTCTTCTTCCAGGTCCTATTATTCATCACATCCTTTCGTTTCTTGACACCAAATCCGCCGTTCAAACGTCCGTATTATCCCGGCTGTGGAGATCCACTTGGAAACATGTCCCTGTCCTCCGTTTGATCAGTGGTTCATTTCGACAGTTTTCGAGTTTCAGAAGGTTTGTGGATAACGTTTTGTCCCTCCGTCGTCCCTTTAATGTCCGCGAAACACTCTTCATTATGAGCCATCATCATCTTGATGAGGATGTTAGTTTTGTTGCCAAGGTCGCCCGGTATTCCTTATCCCATGATGCTCAGCATTTAGTGGTTCAGCTGTTAGGTAGTACGGGTCTGGAAGCGAGTCGCCGATTGTCCAATTTGTTTGGCACGATCTCGCATTGCAGCCTCGAAACTCTACGGCTAAGCGTGTCCTTGATCGATTGTGAATTTGGATCATCTGGTTTTCGAATGCTGAAGACGTTAGAGTTGCGTTGCTGCCAACTGGTTCCTGATGAGGATGGGGTATTCGATCCCTTTCCTAACTTCCCACACCTGGAGAACTTGGTCCTGGATGGTTGCTGCCAGGGTGACCGCTATGAAACCCATCTCAAGATATCTGGACCGAAACTGCTTAACCTGGAATTGTGCGTGATTTGGTTCTCAAGCGTGGAAATAGATGCGCCAAGACTCAAACTCTTTGATCTCCACCATCTCCTGGACTCAGTAAAGTTTGCCAAGTTAAGCTTTCCTTCCCTTGATCATGCTAGTATTGATATTAATGACCAATTCGAGTTCATGGAGGGTAACGAGGATTCAGTGGCACAATGTTTGATCTCTTTGTTTCGAGGTTTAAGTAACGTGACCATTCTCAGGCTAGAACCTGAAACCATCAAGGTATTGTTTGGTTTATATCGTCGTAAGGAAGTGTTCGTTCTATGAACATTGTCATAAGTTGAAATGGTTTCTGTTATTTGCAGGTACTGAGTAGTATTATTCCTGAGATTCTGTATCAGCAATCCTCTCCTTTTAGTAGAATGGAGTCCTTGATTGTGACGGCTAACAGTGTACCTTACTCACAGCTCGCTTACTTCCTTGAAGGGTCTTCTGCTGCAGAACCAACTCTTGATTTTATATAACAGATTATTGGTTAAAGCATTTTGTCGTACTGTAGTTTCTGACTGCTCTACACATGAAGATCATTGCATTTAACTTCGTTGTATTGGCTATTTACCACTTGAAGATGATCTGTGCAAGCGACTCGAGACCTACTTGCTTATTTTTTGCTGCAATCATGTCAGCTTACTTGTACTTTATAGGTTCATTCCTTCAATTCAGGGTTTCCGAAGATATCTTTTCCGTCAGGTGCCTTTTGTCTCTGAAAGGTTTGGTCTTTCCTTAATTATGAACTTCTGGTGTTCACCCAAATGGTCTGTCTTCCTAATTAACTTGTTATTCAGCTAGATAAGAAGTATTTAGAAGCCAAAGCATGGTTGTGATGCTGAAGTCTGAATCTTGATACAATACTGTCGAATGATGTTGTATTATATATTTACATCGTGCCTTAGTGGTGAGCATGGTTGTCATGTCGGTGGCATGCCACCCGGTTGAACCTGTGCCTTGCAGTGTTGTTGTTTTCCATTATCGTTAATCACTTTGCTATACATATGTGTAGCGCGTTACCGGCGCCATTCCTGAAGTATGAATTGCCTTGTTCATCTCAAAGAACCAGTAATCATTTTGCATAGTGTCGTTATTCATCGTTTTCTTCAGCATCTCCTGAATGAGTAACACTCATATTTGATAAGTAATATCTTCTTGAGGATTAAAACTATATATATGCATACATGATAAAGTTCCAAGCATACCTGAATGGTACAGTCATCCAGTAGTAGCGTCGAAGTTTTTGCACCATGCGAACATTGGAACAAGGAGTTCAAATAGGGATCTACATGTGTTCTTGCCTCAGGTACCGACTTCTTGAAAGAATCATACAGTACAAAACCAAGTATTGAGTCCGTAAGAATCTTGTAGCTTAACTTCTTTACGTAGCCTCTACTCTCTACTCTCTGATAGTTGGTAAGTTGAAGCAGAGCATGGTCCTCTCCATATTTGCAGCTGGAGTGAGTCGACAGAGCCTCAATATGATGCTGCATTGAGGTGGGGGTGCTGGGTTTGAGATCTTGTAGCCCATAAAGCAGCTATTTTGATAATCTGGGCCTATTTACCAAGGCCTTCTATATGTTTATTTGTGGATGTCAAATGTCAATCAGCCAATTATCCCATTACCAATTTTCAAGTGGTAATTATTCACATTTTGTCAAATTAACTATTACAAGCAGACAAAGCCTCTAAAGAAATCCTTCAACTCATAGTATAATACAGTTTTCGTTGTTCCTTCTCAATGTGTACAAATCCTTCAACTCATAGTATAACACAGTTTTCGTTCTTCCTTCTCAATGTGTACAAATCTTCTCAATACTAGGACAATTTTGCCCATACCTATGGGTTTCTTACTATCCAACCCAATTGGGTTGGGTATGAAATCCAAATAGATGGATTTGGGTAGAGTTTGATGGGTTTGTATCCATACTCATTTACTTTGGGTTGAGTTGGGTTTATATCAAATGGATTTGGGTTTGTACCCATGCCCAAATATAAATTACATTTTGGTATCCAAACTTAATAGATATGCATATTTAGTGCCTAAATTTAATTTTTTTTTGCATATAAGTCCTCAAAATATTGATGGGAAATTACGTTTTGGTACCTAAATTTTTTTGGTCTTACATTTTGGTACCTAAACTTTTCAAGTTTTACAAATAGGTCCAATTTTTGCATGTGTAGTTAAAACACCCTCAAGTAAATGAATATCCATATCCAACCCATACCCATTTAAATTATGGAAGCAATATTCATACCTTACCCAAACCCATCTATAAACCCCCCAAATCCATATGCACTTCACTCATATCCAACCCATTATCAATGGGTATAATTACCCATGGGTGGGTAATTTGCCATCCCTACTCAGTACTGGTCTTGTGCAGCTGCTACTTTCTCTTGTTCTACCATTTTTACAGCTTGTTTGGGTACAATTCCATAAGAAATGGAAATGGATTTCCATTCCCAATTCTAACTTTTATGGAATTCCATTTCCAATATTTGTGTTTGGCATAATTCCAACAACTATGGAAATTAATTGTACTCTTTAACAATCATTAATGATTTATTATATTTTTTTATCTTGAGAAATGAAATACTAATGAGAGAGAAAGAGAGGAATAAGATAGTGGAGTTATAAAATAATAATAAATTTAAATGGGTCCCACTAATTCCATCTCCATACACCCAATTCCTATCACTTTTGATAGAAATTCTAATTTCCAATATTTGGGTCAAATGGAATTCATTTCTCAACCTTCTTATCACTCCAAACTAGTGATGGCAATGGGTCGGGGCGGAGCGGGTACCTCAATACCCATGCCCCGCCCCATGCTAGTACGGGTCGGGGCGGGTAATACCCGCGCGGGTACGGGGCAGGGCGGGTCGACCCACTCTTACATGCTATTGAGAAAAATACACGCACAATTTTACTTTTTATGATAAAACGAAGGGGAAAAGACTTGATGAATGAATAATAGTGATAATATAATAAGTAATTGAGTCTATTTAGTTGAAAGATCAAGTCTAACTAGTTGAATAAAAATCAAAATAGGAGATATATGAATGGATGGGGTAAAAAATTGACCTAGAACGGGGCCGGGGCAGAGTGGGGCGGAAGTTGATACCCATGCCTCGCCCCATGCTAATGCGGGTCGGGTAATACCTGCCTCATTGCGGGTCAGGTCGGATATTACCCGGCGGGGCGGGTTCAAATTTCCATCCCTACTCCGAACATAGAATAATGAAACAGAATTGGAAATAGAATTCCAATTCCTGAGTTTTTTGTCCATCCAAAGAGGTCTTGGGGAACACAATGAAGGCTAGAACCTCATCATCTCACGAATCGTTGGTGGAACTCTCCAAGTTCGTCGACATAGTGGTTTCGGGCTACTGAATCCATTGAGAAACAAAGATTCGGTAGAAACAATATCCTAAAAGGAACCAAAGAATGAAAACAAATAGGGATTAGAAACTCTTGCAGATGAATCCATTACGGAAACCAAGTTTGAGTATAAACCAAAACACCTAAAGGAAAGAAAGAATAAACACAAACATGGGTAGGTTGGAATTAAAAATTGGCTTTCTTGGGTAACACAAAGTGCATAAACCCAACATCTAAACCACTCGATGGTCAAACCTTCTCCGACAAATTCATTGTTGACGTGTTTTTGTAGCCGATGGATCCATAAAAGTAACAAAAACAAATGAACCAAAATAGAGGTAGAAACTCACCATTTAAGCAATCAATAGATCGACTATCCTTCTACCTTAGGCAAGCTCGTCGTCGTCGACGATGATTTTTGCGACTGATGATTCCACCGACAAAACCAGCAAGAGTTCGTGGAAAGATAAAGAGACGGACTGGAAGCTGATTTCGGCAAAGAAGATAACGCAAGCCTGGGAGAGCACAATGGATCGGAAGAGTTCTCCTCGTTTTCTCCTTTTTTCCTTTTCCTTCTCGTTCTTGTTCTTCATCTTCCTCTGTTTTGCTTTGCATGTTTTTTTATTAGAGCTTCTTTTGTTGAAAGAGAGTAGGGAGGGAGTAGGCTGGTTGTCGAACGAAAAGAGTTAAGGATGAGAGAGACGGTAATTAGTGATGGAGAAGGAAAAGAAAATTAATTAATTAATAAAAGTTAATACTAATTGGCTGATTTTAATCAATAAAAAATTATTTGTGATGTGACACTATGGAACAGTAAAATTATTACTTGTTCTTTTAAAGTACTAATAACTAATAATGATATCACGAGCGATCACTAATTTCATAACATTCTTTGCTTTTCCAATCAGATTTTTATTGTCTAAAAGCCATACTTCAACACTCTCTTAGAGGTGGGAAACGGTCCGTTTTTACGCGAATTTTCGGATGAAAATTATGCCAAATACAGAACCGAAAATTGGATTGGATCGTAACTTGATTGAATTGAGTATGGTCAGATTCGATTTTAATCACAAAAAACGGTTGTAACTAGTCCCCAAAAATGCCGCCATTTTATGAGGAACTAAATTTTGAAGAAAAAAAAAGAAAAACAAACATTAATCGTATCATTCAACTCCTCCCTCCTTATCGCGCTGTTACAAAAATCCCTCCTTAGTCGTTGCTCTGCTCGTTTTCTCCTTCATGCCGCAGCAGGTCTCTCTCCTCCTCGCCTTCATCTAACCCCTCTCCCGCCGCTAGCCGCGCTCCTCTCCGCCGCCGTGGTCTACTCCTAGCGCCCGTCTACAGTGTCTCCAGTCACCCCTCCATCTCCAATCTCCATCATCTTCTAGACTTCATTCCCCACCCCTAAAAATGAAACCCTAAATTCCGCGAATTATGGATTGTAGCGTTCGTTAATCCGATTGGATTGCAGCGGCGGAGCTGATTTGCTTGTATCTCTGCTGGCGCGGACTCCGGCGGCAAGGTGATTGCTTTTCGATTTCTTGCTTTAGGTAGAACTGAATTGATCAAATAGAAAGTCGATGAGCATCCATTTGTCTTGCTGTGAATTGGGGAAAATGGAAATTGGGCGTAGTGGGGACAAAGATACTACTGACAGGTTAAGCCATCTTCCAGAACCGATTCTTCATCACATCCTTTCGTTCATGGACACTATATCTGCCGTTCAAACCTCGGTGTTGTCTCGTTCATGGAACCGGGTGTGGAAACATGTCCCTGTCCTAGAACTGTGTCGCCTTTCCTTCTATGAGTATTCGAGTTTCCTGTGGTTTGTGTGTAAGGTTTTGGACCTTCGTTATAATCTTAGTCTCCGCAAGATGAGCTACTTGGACAACTATGTGTATAAACATGAAAGGGGAGAAGATGATGAGAGTGACGCATTGATCACGGAGTTTCGAGATATTGGTGTGTGCATGGAGGTCATCCAATATGCTTTATTCTATGATACTCAACATTTAGTGATCGACCTGGACAATGAGTATAAGGATGTCCATCAGAGTGACAGATTTACGGGTTTGTTTGGGAAAATCTTGAATTGCAACCTCAAAACTCTAGAACTAACGTATGTCTGCATCGACGATGGTCTTGCATCTCGTGGTTTTCAAATGCTGACGACTTTGAGATTGCAACTTTGCTCTCTGGCTTCTGATCAGTATGAGGACTTCTTTTCGAACTTTCCCTCTCTGAAGAATTTGGTCCTGAGTATTTGCCAGCCTTGGGACTATGGCAACTCCATCGAGGATGGTAGGGGTCTGAAGATATCTGGATCCCAATTGATTAGCCTGACGTTGGATTTTATGGTGTGTTACAAGATGGAAATATTTGCACCGAAACTCAAATTCTTCAATCTTGTGCATGACTTGGAATCCCTGGTATCCACCAAGTTAAGCATTCCTTCCCTCCATCATGCTGCTATCCGGATCCAGGGTTGGGACAATTTCATGAAGGACAACAAGGAATGTGGGGCACAACGTTTCATCTCTTTGTTCCAAGGTTTGAATAATGCGACATATCTGTCGCTGGATAACTGCACCTTTAAGGTAATCTCTGCCTTGGATAATGCCATCGTAATTTAAGCGTTTGTTCTTGGAAATATTACCGCACATTTTTTTTTGTTTGCTTCTGCTCTTTTTAGGCACTGAGGAAAGTTTCCGAGGTTCTGGAACAACAACAATCCTCTCCCTTTACGAGATTGAAGACGTTGATTGTGAAGACTTATTGTGGACGTGACGACGTACCTGACAAACTAGTCCATTACTTTCTTAAAGGGTCGGCTAGTATGAACCCAGATGTTGAGTGTATTTGGCCATGTCGTGAACCATTTTGCCGTGGTTGCTGATTGTGGTACTCATGCATATAGGTTGGATTTTATTTTTTTACAGATCATTTACCAGTAGGTCATGAATTTGTCCAAGTGATTCATGAAAGGTTCAAAAATTGTTTTTTATTGCAATCCATACCATTTTGCTGGGTTGGCCACATTGTCAACATTTGTGAAAGTAGTTAAGTTTTTATTCTTGGTTTGCCATCTTCTTCATGCTTTGTCCTTTGATTTGAAGAGAAAGACCTCTCTGAATAGTTTGTTTCTCCCTCAGTTCTGGACTTATGCTACCAAGCTAACCTAAATCAACTATATTCTCAAACTTATGGGGCTTGTAAATTAGCTCAGAATTTAGCTCGCTTACTTCCTGGAAGGGTCTTCTGCTGCAGAACCAACTCTTGAGTTTATATAACGTAGTATTGGTAAAGCATTTTGCCGTAGTGTAGTTTCTGATTGCTGTACATGAAGATTATTTGCATTGAGCTTCGTTGTATTTACTATTTACCACTCGAAGATGATTTGTGCAAGTGACTCTAGACCTATTTGCTTATTTTTTACTGCAATCATGTCAGCTTACTTGTAATTTATGGTTTCATGACTTCAACTCAGCGCTTCCGTAGATATCTTTTTTATCAGGAGCCTTTTGTCTCTGAAAGGTTTGGTCTTTCCTTAGTTATGGACTTCTGGTGTTTGCCCAAATGGTCCGTCTATTTTTACTACTTTACATGCTAGATAAGAAGTATTTAGAAGCCAAAGCATGGTTGTGCTGCTGAAGTATGAAACTTGACAGAATACTGTCAAATGATATTGTATTATATCTTTACATTGTGCCTTAGTGGTGAGTCTACTAAGGTAAGTATGAACGGTTTGCCAACCAATCCTACTGTTTCTGCTGTTTATTGCCGCTTTCCCCGGATGAGATTGGTATGGTTCAGCATATATAATAGAGGTTGCTGAGTAAACGTCTCTACAACATGGAATCAGCCTTGCAGTGTTGACAGTGGAGGATACCGTAGTTTGTAGTCGTAGCCTTGCAGTGTTGCTGTTTTCCTTAAAACAGATTATCGTGAATCACTTTGCTATATGTGTAGCATGTTACCGTCGCCATTTCTGAAGTATGAATTACTTTGTTCATCTCAAAGAACTTGGTAGTTGTTGGTAATTCATTTACCTTTAAGTGATGAATTTGTCCAAGTAATTCATGAAAGATACTCAATTTGTCCAAGTAATCATGAAAGATTTTCCTTCCCTAATCTTAACCTAATTCTTTTCTCAAATCCCTAATCCCTCTTGTCCATTCCCAAATCCAACCGCATTCTATCAGAAATTGAAACACTTCATCCTTGGCAGCATTCTTGCACTTCAGAGTTCAGATGTCTTAAGAGTTGCAGTCATGACAGCATAACTGGAATTTATGACTTCTGTACTTCAACGTTAATTCTTCATTCGTATCTTCTTTGTCAGGAGCTCTACATCTCTGAAAGGTTTGGTCTTTTCCCAGTTATGGACTTGTGGTGTCTTCCTAATTAACTTCTTACACGTTGGATTAACTGATGATTTAGCTGTATTTCTGAAGTAATTAGAAACCATTGCTGTGGCTCGTTATATATAGGTTGCTGAGAACATATCTGGTACAGTTCGCTATTCAGCCTTGCCTGAAATAAAAGTAGCTTCTAGTGAAAACCCATTTGGGCATTGAATGGTTATAATTTACCCATCGTGGGTTAGTGCTTGACCCCATCTTATAAAGACAGTATTTCATCTTTATTCTTGGATTGTCATCTTCTTAAAGCAAATTTCCTCAAGAATCGAATGTAGAAATTTAGGCCACCGGTAACTAGCAAGTAATTTGAATGAGGTAATTCGATGAGGGTATTTAAGCTGAAATAGCTCAGAATTTCGGTCGAAATAACTCGTTTGGCAAAAATAAAATGAAAATTTGGTATTTTGTTAATGAGAAAATTGAAATAACTCATTATAAGTTATTTGAACTATCTACCCATCCACTAATTATTTAAAATAACTCATCTCTCAACCTCTTTTTTCATTCCATCTCTTCTCTAAGTTGTGAAATAACACAAATAGTGAAAGACTTATGTATATTGTTAAATCAGGTTTCCAGCAAAATCATTATTTTACCCTGTTTTACTTCCATAAAGTTATCGACGACCAGTTCCAACCAAAATATATGACTCCTCACCAAAAAAAAAATATATTAAAAGAGTAATTGATGACTTCAGGTAGATCGTCGGATAGCAAACTTAAGGACTCTAACCTCTTGAAGATGTTGACTATTACTCCAAAATCTCACACCTATTGTTTAGTATGTGTAGAAAATACGTACAAACAAATTTGAAAACCAAAAGTACGATACTGCTATATTCTCGAGTAGTAAAACTATATATGCATACATGATAAAGTTCCTGGCATACTTGAATGGAAAAGTCATTCAGTAGTGTCAAAGTTTTTGTACTATGCAAACATTGTAACAAGGAGTTCAAATAATGTGTTCAAATTTCAATTATATGATATCATGAGCGATCAATAATTTGACAACTTCTTCGCTTTTTCAATTGGATTATGATTTTCTAAAAGATTTTCTCTATCGTTTCCTAGGGATGGGAACCATACCGAGTTTATCCGATTTTCAGATGAAAATTATGGGCAAAACCTCAATGGAAAATTGAATTGCTAGGTTTAAGTTTTAAGCGTAACCGTATTGATTTGAATACGGTCTGATCCGATTTAAATACAAAAACCGATGCCCCTGTTTTAAGAGGAACTAAATTAAAGAAGAAGAAGAAGAAAAAAAATCAATCCGATCAGCTCTCGCTCCTCCTCATCGCTGTTACAAAAAACCACCCTTTGCCGTTGATCTGCGCTTTCTCTCCTTCCAGCAGCAGCAGTGCTCTCTCCTCCAAGCCTTCATGCCGCAAGCCGCACTCCTCTCTGTCGCTGCGATCTCCTCCTAGTTCCAGTCCACAGTGTCTCCAGTCTCCCCTCCATCTCCTCCATCATTTTATAGACTTCAATCCCCGCGCCCAAAACTGTAACCCTAAATTCCGTGAACTATGGAATGTAGCGTTCGTTAATCCGATTGGATTGCAGCGGTGGAACCGATTTGCTTGTATCTCTGCTGGCGCGGACTCCGGCGGCAAGTCGCCTTCAACGGTAATCGCTTTTCGATTTCTTGCCTTAGGTAGAACTGAATTGATCAAGTAGAAAGCCGATTAGCATCCATTGCTCTTGCTGTGCATTTGGGGAAAATGAAAATTGGGCGTAGTGGGGAAGAAGAAACTACCGACAGGTTAAGCCATCTTCCAGAACCGATTCTCCATCACATCCTTTCGTTCATGGACACCATATCTGCCGTTCAAACCTCGGTGTTGTCTCGGTCATGGAATCGGGTGTGGAAACATGTCCCTGTCCTGGAACTGTGCCGCCTTTCCTTCTACGAGTATTCGAGTTTCCTGTTGTTTGTGTCTAAGGTTTTGGAACTCCGCTATGACCTTAGTCTCCGCAAGTTGAGCTACATGGACAACTATAGACATAGGCATGAGAGGGTCGACGGAGATGATGGAAGGGACGCGTTAATCACGGATTTTCGAGATGTTGGTATGTGCATGGAGGTCATCCAATATGCTTTATCCCATGATACTCAGCATTTAGTGATCAACCTGGACAATGAGTACAAGGATGTCCATCAGAGTGACAGATTTACGGGGTTGTTCGGGGAAATCGTGAACTGCAACCTCAAAACTCTAGAACTAAAGTTTGTCTGCATCGACGATGGTCTTCGATCTCGTGGTTTTCGAATGCTGACGACTTTGAGATTGCATCTTTGCTCTCTGGCTTCTGACCAATATGAGGACTTCTTTTCGAACTTTCCCTCTCTGCAGAATTTGGTCCTGATGGTTTGCCAGCCTTGGGACTACGGCAACTCTATCCAGGATGGAAGGGGTCTTAAGATATCCTGACCCCAATTGATTTACCTGAAGTTGGATTTTGTGGTGTGTTACAAGATGGAGATATCTGCACCAAAACTCAAATTCTTCAGTCTTGTGCATAACTTGAAATCCCTAGTATCCATCAAGTTAAGCCTTCCTTCTCTCCATCATGCTGCTATCGGGGTCCAGGATTGGGACTGTTTCATGCTGGACAACAAGGAATGTGGGGCGCAACGTTTCATGTCTTTGTTCCAAGGTTTGAATAACGCGACATATCTCTCGCTGGAGTACTTCACCCTCAGGGTAATAATCTCTTCCTTGGATAATGCCATCGTAATTTACGCGTTTCTTCTAGGAAATTTTACCTCGCAATTTAAAGTTGGCTTCTGCTCTTTGTAGTCACTGAAGAAAGTTTCTGAGGTTCTGGAACAACAAAAATCCTCCCCCTTTACGAGATTGAAGTCGTTGATCGTGAAGACTTTTCTTGGACGAGACGAAGTACCTGACAAACTGGTCCATTACTTTCTTAAAGACTCGTCTAGTATGAACCCAGAAGTTGAGTGTATTAGGCCCTGTCATGAACCATTTTGCCATGGTTGCTGATTGTGGTACACATATAGGTTGGATTTTCTTTATTTTCGGATCATTTACTTGTTAGGTCATGAATTTGTTCAAGTAATTCATGAAAGATATTCAACTTGTTTTTATTGCAATGCGTACCATTTTGTTGGGCTGCCATCTTCTTGATGCTTTGTCGTTTGATTTGAAGAAACACCTCTCTGAATAGTTTGTTTCAGCCTCAGTTCTGGACTTATGCTGCCAATCTAACCTAAATCAACTATCTTCTTAAACTTATGGCGCCTGGCAATTCGCTCAGAATTTAGCTGGCTTTCTTTTGGCCACTGAAGCTTATATGTACTCTGAGTTTATGAGGCGGGAGAAGCCCAAAAGGATAATCTGGGCCTATATACAAGGAAAAAACAGCGAGTTCCTTTTTTTCGCTTTTGCTCAGATTTGTAATACATTTCTTCTCCGCATCCTCTCTCTGTCCACTGAACATGAAACCCTAGATTCGGCGAATTGTGCAGCATAGCGTTCGTTAATTAGATCAATTCTCCATAGCGCGCATCCAGCTCTCTGCTTTACTGCGGCTCTCCGGTGTACGAGCGAGTTTGGATTGCAGCGGTGGAGGACTGGAGGTGATTGGGTTGCAGCTCTTTTGGCGCGGAATACGGCTGCTAGACTCCATGAATGGTCATCGGAAACAGGTGGATTACGGTTCTTTGAAATCTGGCTTTTGATCTTCACTCTTCAGCTTTAGGTAGGTAGGTAGTATTGAATTCAGCAGTAGTTGCATTCCAGATGGGGGAAAAAAATAGGAAAAGGCGCAGAGGGGAAGAAGATAGTACTAATGACAGATTAAGTAGTCTTCCAGAGCCCATTCTTTATCACATCCTTTCGTTCCTCGACACAAAAACTGCCGTTCAGACCTCGGTATTGTCTCGGTCATGGAACAGAGTGTGGAAACATGTCGCTGTCCTCGACCTGAGCTGCCTTTCCTTTCGGCGGTATAAACGTTTTCGAAGGTTCGTGTCTAAGGTTTTGTCTCTCCGCTATAAGCTCAATCTCCACAAGGTGACGGATGGTTTGTCCCTCGAGATGTTAGTATATGTGCGAATATGCTTTATCGCATGCTGCTCAACATTTGGTGATCAATCTGCACAATCAGTACACTGATGTCTCTGAAAGTGACAGATTTACGGATTTGTTCGGCACAGTCTTGAACTGCAACCTCAATACTCTAGAACTAAGATATGTCTGCATCGACGATGGTCTTGGATCTTGTGGCTTCGGAATGCTGACAACTTTAAGTTTGAAATATTGCTCACTGGCTTCTGATCAACATAACGACTTCTTTTCTAACTTTCCGTCTTTGAAGAATTTGATCTTGAGTTCCTGCGAACCTTTGGAGGACGGCCCTCTTAGTGGTATGGTGCTCAAGATATCGGGACGCCAGTTGGTTAGCCTGAAATTGGACGATATGATTTGGCTCAAAGTGGAAGTATTTTCTCCAAGGCTAAAATTCTTCAGTCTTCGGCATTATTTGGGCGCCCTGCAATCCACCAAGTTAAGCTTGCCTTCTCTCGATCATGTTGCTATTAGTGTCGGTGACTGTAATGACTTTGGTGAAGACTGGCATTTGAAAGATAACCGGGAATGTGGGGCACAACGTTTCATCTCCTTGTGCCAAGGTTTGACTAATGCAACATCTCTCATGCTGGATAACGCCACCATCCAGGTAATCTCTGCCTGGTTATTTCAGTCGCAATCTGAATGTTTCTTCCTGGACATATTAACTTAAGTTTTGAGTTGGCTTGTGCTCTGTGTAGGTATTGAGTCAAATTTCTGAGTTTCTGGAACAGCAACCCTCTCCCTTTGCAAGATTGAAGTCCTTGATCGTGAAAGCCGAGGTTGGCCATGTACCTTACAAACTGGTCGATTACTTTCTTAAAGGGTCATCTAGCATGAAACCAAACCTCGAGTATGTGTAGCTCTATTATAATCGATTTTCTGATATATCTGATCGTGGTTCGCCAATAGCTTATTATGCTTACTCTTCAGATCATTTACCAGTAGGTCATGGGTTTGTCGAAGTAATTGGTTTAAGCTGCTCAAATTGATTTGACTGGCTTATGTACCCCAGGTCGGGTTGGCAACATTGTCAGCTTGAGTGGGACTTATGCAGACAGTACTTCAGCTTCGTATTCTTGGTTTCTCATCTTCTTCACTCCTTCCCCCTAGACTACTCTGTTTTTGCCTCAGTTATGGACTTAGTACTTATGGTACCAGCCTAAATCAACTATCTTAACAAACTCATGACGCCTATGTGTTAATGTGAAAATGGCAGATGGAATGCTTTGAATGGTTGATATGTGCCAATGTAACAGTACCTGAGTGGTTATGTCCTTCCTATGTTGTTTTGCTGCATATGGCCATCATATAGAGCATGGTAATCGACTATGGTAAATCATTAAGACTCCGAAGCTTGAGCTGCAGCGTCAAGTCGAAGAACGAGTTGCTTGTGCATTTGTTTGTTGTTGGCAGTTTTATTGTCTAAGTAACTAAGTTGGATCCTATTTCACTTGCTCTTTGGAATGAAATCTTTGAAGCGGCTTCGCTCTATTTCTTTCAGGTATACTTTTAGCTGGTCGATGTAAAATGGTTCATACGAGGTAGTGTCGTGAAACATTTTACCAGTCTTTGTTTCTTTGTAGCAACTAAAGATGATTTCTGGGTTCATATTCCAAGTGATTGAAATCATTAGCTAACGATTGAGTTGAGAATAGTTGAGGAATAATCAGATGCTATAAAAAAAGGTTTAACTTCCAGATTTATTCTTGGTTTGTCAACTTCTTCGTGCTTTGTCCTTTGATTTGAAGGGAAAGACCTCTCTGAATTGTTTGTGTTTGCCAACCTAAATGAGCTATCTTCTCAATTCTAACGTATCCGGTCGAACTTTTATCTCGTGGCACCTGCTCCAAATTTAGCTGCAGTCTTTTCACCTTGAGATTTTATAATTTTAAGTAACTTGCTCTAAACAGTAGGAAGCGTTTTAGCGTATGATTGTGCTGATGAAGTTGGAATTTCTGAAAACACAACTGTTGGATGATACTATAAGCAATTAGTAAATTACTGTTCTAGCAATAGCGGTTTGAATGCCAGAATCAATGTTACAGGAACTGGGTCGTTGATGACTAGTTGTGATTGGCTTTCTTTGATGGTGAGGATATAATTATATCCACCTTTGAGCTGATAAAATCTAATCTTATGTTCTACCCAAAAAAAAAAAAAATCTAATCTTATGACTGTTGGCATCCAAGTAATCGTTAGCATCATGATTAGCAGTTTCTACCGGATCATGATTAGCAGTTTAGTATTGTTGCTTGTTTTCTGTTGTGCATTTAAAAATTGTGGAAATCAAGAAAATGAAACGTGTTTAGTTGGGTTTCTTTTTTCTGTTGCCCAACAGATTTGGACAACAAGACCCAAATCAACAAAACGTCAAATTGTGGTTTCGGATCCGTTTCACCCAAGGTTGTCAAACCGGTTTATGCCGGTGTGCCGGTTTTGTAAGTGGAATGGTCTGACCGTGGTACAACCAGTATTCATGCCGGTTGTGCCGGTTTTAATAAAATACATGAGGAAAATGGAAATCCTCAATTCCAAATAAATTAGTCATAAAAAAGCAATTAGAAGAATTATTTCACACAAAATAATTTATAGCTAAGAATTTGTAACTAATACTAAACAATTAGATGCTTAAAAATAAAAATTTATTAAATAAAATTTATTAATGTTTATAATGATTTATGTAAAATTTAATATTAGATATATAACATATAAGGTTAATATAGACAAGAAAATTGCTTGTAGTCTATTGGTGTATAAGTTAAACTAAAATGAACAAGAGGTCCTTGGTTCAAATCCTATGGAAGAGGTTTATTTTTGAATATAATGTGTGTAACATTAAATTCCGGTTTCTGGTCTAACCGGTCGGAATTTCCGGATTTGACCGGCATTGAATGGATTTGACCACAGTTAAATACCGGCCCCTTTCTAGCCGGTTTGCTGACCGGTACCGGTTGAACCTGGTTGAACCGACCGGCATGAAACCGGTTTGACAACCATGGTTTCACCCCAGCGTTGCACATGGGTTTTTTGTGGGATTTCATTAATTGCCAATTTTTTCATTTTTTAATTTCTTTAGGGCCAATACCACTGGAAATACCATCTTTTAGTGAAAGTGCCATTTATATTACGTACTTTCAATAAACACAAAAATATTCCAACGTATTAGGGGTTTGTGTCATTTGTGTTACGCGAATTTTTGTTGACCGTTAGAATTGACGGTTGACCTGACGGTAGTCAACTTATGTTTGACTATTGCTTATGTGGCGCTTAGGTGTCACCCGCATATATGCCATGTAAGAAATTACTATTTAAAACTATTAATTTTATTTCAAAAATAAATAAACTAATATTATTAACTTATTTTTAAAAAATTTTCTAAATACTCTTTCTCTATCTTTCTAAATTATTTCCTTAATAATTGAATAATTGATATTTTTATAGAAATCCTCAAGCTCCCTTTTGTCGTCTTCTTCCTCCACCGCATCATTGCCGTCGGAGATGGTCTTCCTCATCTTCGTTCTAATTAGCAACCTCATCTTGGATCTAGATTTGCTGTCAACAACGAGGGAGTGACCCCAATTCCCTCGTCTTTCTATCTTGAAATCCAAACCATATAGTGATATAGAGTTATAAAGAGAGAGCTAATATCACAAAGCAAACGATTTTCCAAATTGTTGATCTTCCAATCTCTGCAACTCGAAGAACCAGCGATGCATCAAGGATATTACGCTTCCTATTGCTAGTTCCCCCTTCCAAAACCCAAACCCAATTTCAATCCAAAAATGCCCAATACTATCAATCACTATCAAAGGGCGTCGGCGACTCCGGTCTCCCCCAGGTACTTTCCAACAATTAATCTGCCGCCTATTGAAACAAAACCGTTGGCGAGAATCGGAAATGAGCTTCCTCTGTCTGGCACCTCTGTCTCCTCTTCCTCGCCACCGCGAAATAGAGCAACGGCGAAATCGTGATAAGCGCGAACACCGCCACGGATTTCCTCTTGTGGTGGTCTAGATCTGTGCCAAGATGCGTTAAACAGACGTCGTGGAGCTCTACGGATTGGCCGAGATTCCAGGATCCATGACAGAGAGTGGAAATTGAAGGAAGGCGGGGAGTGGCGGACGATGAGGCGGTGGGAGTCACTGCGAGGATGTGGTGGCGGAGGGCAAAGGATGCGGAGAATTTTGGGGGGGGGGGGGGGGGGGAGATCAGAGGAGGCTGTGGTGGTGTGGAGAGATCGAAAGAGATAGAGAATAAGGAGGAAGGTGTTTCCCTTTTCTATTTTTGATTTCTTTATATTTTTTTTATATTTATTTTTTGCTAAAATTTTCCAGCTCAGCTGCCATGTCATCATAGACTCTATTTTCTGTTAACCACTAACAGAAAACTTAACAGTTGGTATACAATTGTCATATCGAAAGTTATGTAATATAAATGACACTTTCGCTAAAGGTTGGTATTTCCAATGGTATTAGCCCATTTCTTTATTCCTTAATCCTTTCTTCTTCCTTCTTTCTGTACCATCGCACAATGTTCTTTCTTCCTCTTCCTTTGTGCGAAATCCCAACGGCGACCCAATCCCAGCGAAGACCTAGGCTTTCTTTCTCTTCCTTCTCGCAATCCCTGGGATTTTCTCTCAAATCCCAATCCCAGTGAAAACCCAGGCTTCTTCCCGGCAGGGCAAAGACATGGCGGGCGGTGACAGAAGCGACGACTTCTTCTCCGGGTTTAGCCGGATTCTTCTCCATCCCGACAGGAGAGGCGGCAAGGAGTGATTCGTCTCCAGATCTTTCCCATCCACAGGAGAGGGTCCATGGAGTGAGTCGTCTCCGATTGGACTCAGAATTACCGTCGCTGAAGGAAGCTTTTTCTTGTTTTTCTTCTTCTACAGTTCGTTGACGGTGGCGGAGAGGAGAGGAAGGGAGGCGAGGAGATTAATCGAAAGGGATGCCCTTCCTAATCCATTTTTTTAAGATGGACAGAGAATTGATCTAGATTCTAACCCCAGAGTTGCCAATTCTAGATATGAGGAACTAAACGCGCTGTGTTTGTTGTTGATAATTCTAGAAGTTACAAACTAAACAAGTTTGTTGTTTTATGTTTTTCTTCTATTGTTGTTGTGTTTCTGTTGTCACAATTTCAACACAATCACAACAACAACAAAATGATACTAAAATAGGGCCTAAGTTACAGAAAACGAATTCGTGATGATTTCTTAAGAAGCATCAGAGATTTTCTTACCGTCCAAGAAGCTAAGAGTTAGAGCTCTGATTGAGGATGGTGAGATACTAGTTTTTGGGCACTTTCAACAACATGGATGGTTTTTTTCAATCCAGTCAATACAGGACCATCGTTTTTTTCTTCTAGGTGTAGTTAATTCAGGCCTGGAGCTGAAGTTAGCCGGGGGGGGGGGGGGGGTTTCGAGCTGCAAATTGCAAGTTTCAAAAGAAAATGACCACCACCAGAAGTAGTTTGTCACCGAAAGTAGAAAATTTGTCACCAAAACGTTTGTGATAGAAGTTTCCATCACAGGTCACCTATAGACCGTTGCAAATGTATTTGTGACAAAAATTCTCACTTTGTCACCTTAGAATCGACTTGATATGACGACAATTTCCATTACGCAAAGAAGAGTATTTTACAATTAATATATTTAGTTTCGATCAAATACAGGAGAAGAAAAAAGAGATAATTGGAATACAATAGAATAAGTAAGAGGGCATTCGTAATTGACATGGAGGTTTCACTATGGGAGATGAGGGCGTTATTATTGATGGAAATTATGATATGCTCATGGTAGAGGAAACCAAACAAAGCCAAGAAAAAATGTTGTAGTTTCTATGAAAGAAGAGTAAATAGAAGTGTCATTTGAACAAGTTTTTAGAAGCTGGCTCATTGGTTCGAGGTTTGTCTTTTATGCTAAGGATTTTAGCTAATGAATAGGTTAGAGTTTCAGAAAATACTATGAAGTTAATCCTTTTGAATGTTACCAATTACTATATAATTTGAATTCTCTTATGTTATCAAACAAAAATGTATATTGCTTGACTTTTGCTATTCATTATTTAGGGATATGAAAAATGAATCTGACCCACTGCTCATGTCTACCTTTCTTCAAACAAATTGTTATTGTTGTTTATACCATTTATGAAATGCATCCGACCAACGGGCCGAGTCCAAATCTAGTAATTGATACATTTTCCCCTTCTATCAATGCATCTTTAGTACTTTCTTTCACATTTTATATCTAAATCATAACTATTTGATCAGTGGGCATTTAATAGACCTAAGTTGTGTGTTTGTTTGGTATGTTTTAAGCTTTTCAAGGTTGAATACAACCTAGGAGGATTTGGATCAAGCATTGGATGATTGTGGAGGACCAAAGGAGCAAAAGAGAGAAGATCATGGAGTTACACATAAAAGATGAGGTTCAATGACGGAGATAGTTACTGGGAACCACGAGATGAGCGCAAGTAGAATCCAATAGAGGAAGACTAGACAAAAGATGACGCAATAATCAGTGACGGCCAAATGATGGGTCCAACCATCACTCAAGCAAACTAGCCAAAATCATGAGGAATTCTTCTGTAGAGGTTGCTTGCGGGCCAAGGGCACCAACTCACGAAGAATACATGTGGCAGTTCCAACCATCACACCAAAGTCTAAACCCAAAGTAGAGATTTTTTAGGCCATGATTTGGCTCAATTCAAAGAAACCTAATCTGAGTAGGTTTTAGGAGGATTTTAGCCGAGTTCTACCACTATAAATAGGGAGCTAGACTCATTAGTTCTGTAGGCTGCACAATTCCATTCAAACTTCTGTAGACACTCTATTCGAGTGAGATCTTAGCTTTCACATGAGAGGGTGCCGCTAAAGAGATGCATTCATCATCGATGGTGGTACCCTCCTTCTCTTCTATGTATAGCTAGTTTGAAAATTGATTGTGCATGAATGTGAAGTTGTTCATCTTTATATGTATTGATGCTATGATTTCATATTAAGCTTGTATTTATGCTTATGAATTTCGATGCCTATGATGTATGCATTGATACTTTGGTTTCAATCTGTGATGATCATTAATGTTTATCTAGTACAGGGATAGAGCCAGGATTTCGAATCAGGGGGGTCGACGAATTTTTTTTTCCAACACATACATAGTGATGAAAAAATACATATAAATGTAACATCCAAAATTATTAACAAATTTTTATATAAAATCATTAAAAAATATGTCAAAACTATAAAAATCATGACATATTTCAAAATAAAATAGCATAGATTCGACTATTTAAAATTATAACATGTTCAATTTCAAATAAATTCACATGCAAAGAGACTTGCCAAGAAAATAAAAAAAATATAAAGGAGACTTGCCTAGAAAAATAGGGAAAAGGGTGTAGGACTAGGAAGAAACAATTTATTAATTTAAGCAAAATGAGTTTTTAAAGTAAAACATAAAGGAGACTTGCCTTCATCATCATGGTAAAAGGGTGTAATGAGAGGCAATTAAAGCAAAATGAGCTTTCCAAAAATAACAGAGGTGGGGTTTGAACCCTCATTTTAGGGGGGGGCATGGCCCTCCTTGATACACACTGGCTCCGTCCCTGATCTAGTATGAATGTTTTCTTATCCTGATGCTTATGATTCTATAGTATACTAATATATGCATTCTGATTAGTATAATCTATGTTGTTAACAAATTACCCTCTAGTTATACCCCATTGATGCTACACGAGTATAGAGGGAATGATCAACCATATATGCCTCAAGTAGTATCAATGCTTGATTTTTAGATCATCAATGCTATAGAGCATCGAGTATGGCTTCAAGAGTCCCACACTTAATCATGTGTTATCCTCAGTTCTCTTTTCTTCATTGAGTAGGGGATGGCATAAAGCGAAAGCATTTATTAGCTACTCAAGTTTCTATTGCATGTGGTGAAATTTTGAGTAGGATGAACTTAGTAGAAGGGATATAGTGATGCTATATATGAGTCATTGACGCATGGTATGAATGATTATTGATATGCGTGGTAGTATTCTAGTATGAGTTTATATCCGATAACGTATCTTTACTTATATGCATCTATAAACTTGATAAACCCCCTAAACAACTTTTGCTTTTCGTGCTTGCTTTACTTTGATGCTTTACTTGGATAAAACCCCCTAAAATTCTTTCATATGCTTGTTCGAGCATGGATGTTATGGTGTGAGTAGTTATGCATTAGAAGACCTTGTAGAATACAACCTCAAGACATCCTATGACTTTTTATTACTTGCATGAATCCTGCATCAAGTTTTTGGAGCCGTTGTCAGGGAGTTCTAATCATATATAAAAGCTTCTAACCATGTCAATGGAGTTTTTAAAAATCCAAGCATCTCAGAGATAGATAAAGAGGTAGGAATTTTTCAAACAAACCACACTCCTTCGTATACGTCAGGGGTCCATTGATGAGAAAGGGCTGTAGAAAGCTTGAACCCGATTCGTAAAGATAGTTATTAAATCATTAGCACCACAAGGCTCCATCCTACAATGGACTTCTAATCATATATAAAAGCTTCTAACCATCTTATGTCTTTTTATTAGTTTTAGTGTCGTTCGTTTTGTAGATTGTCGTATGATTTCAATAAGTACTAGAAAATAAGTTTAAAAAAAAAAACTAGAGATCGTGCAAGAGATCGTCTAAGAAGGAGGAGCATCGAGTTCACCCATCTTGACATCGAAGGAATGAGCATCTAGCTAAGAAGAAGAGGATCCCTTCAAGTCACACTGATTTCGAGCCAAGCTTGGAAGAGGAGGAGAGCATTGACGAAGATTGCAACTTCGATTCTGAAGAAGAAGGAATCTCTTCAACATCTTCAACCCCATCATCAATGACTGGAGCAGAAGGAGAAAGACGAGTGGTCATCCCAACTACTCTTTATGAGTATTCAAGGGCAAGAGCATCAAATATCATCTTAAACATTGTTGCACCACCTACTACCATTGAGATCTGCACTCAACTTATTCAAATGGTACAACAAGAAGAGAGATTTAAGGAAGGAATAATGATGATCATGTGAAGCATCTAAAGATATTATTGGACATTGTCAATTCCATTCCAGAAGGTAAAGCTACCAAAGATGGAAACTTACTACGACTTTTCCCATTCTCCCTTGGAGGAAGGGCAAAGCAGTGGTTAGATTACCTGCACTAGGCACTTTCACCACATGGGAAATCCTTCTCAAGCATTCATTGAATAGTACTTTTGTAAGAAACACACTTCTTCGAGTTCCTTACGATTAACGTAACCGGATAGATTAGAAAGAGATTGAGGGATTAGAAGATAGAAATTAGGGATTTGAGAAGAAGAATTGAGATATGAAGAACAGAATTGGGGATTGGGGATTTAGAAGAGATTAGGAGAAGAAGAGAGGGATAAACTGAATAGGGTTTGATTATTAATTTCTGACAGCCTATCCCGTAAGACCCCAAGTACATATTTATAATAAAATACAGCCCAAACCCTAAAAGAACCCTAATAATATTCGGCTCCTAACTAGCCGCTAAATCCTACAACTAATATTAATAATATTAAATATATTAGAAACGTATGCTTCTAACAACTTTCCACCATGGAAGACAGAGGAACTTAAAGATGAAATTACCTAATTTAAATATAAAGAAGTAGAGACATTCTATGATGATTGGAGGAGATTCCAGGAGTATATCAAGGTGTTCCCCGATCATGGGTTCACACCAAAGAAGATTGCAAAGTACTTTTTCAAAGGTTTAGGTCGAGATACCACTATGATGGTTAAGCAGTCGACCAATGAGATTTTACAATGATGACGAGAGTGTAATGTTAAGAACATTTAACCACACTAGTAGGGAAACCAAAGAACTGGTCCAAACGAACATCAACGTTCAAACCATTAAAGGTTGTCATAGGAAAGGAGGAGGATGTCGCCACTCTCTGTGAGCATATGAGAGAGCTAACACAACAACTAAAAAATATCAATGGAGCCAAAGAAATGACCAATGGCATCCATGTTCGTATGTGAAGCAAGTGGAGAAGAAGAAGGCCATGAATGTGTCAACTACTATAGTCACGGAGGGCAAGGACATGTTGATGTCAAATTTATTAACCAAGTTTACCCATCGAGACCTCAACAAAGAAGCTCTCATTCATATAAAAGATCCAACAACCTCGCATACCTTGTGGTCAATGGCATATCTCAAGAGGAAAGAAGCTCGAGGAATACCCCAACATCACCTCTACTAGTGCACCTCATGAAGCACAAAGACAGAAGAAACTAAGTCCACCTGGATTTGTTAACCAACTTCAATACAAGGCGTAAGGAGAATGTGTCTCCAATCAGCAACTCATCATATTCGAGAAGTTGGAGGCAACAATGACAAGATTGCAAATGAGCTACAAGAATATGAAAAGACAACTTGCACTTATAATGGATGCTCAACCTCAAAAGCGTCAAGTAAACCTCTCGAGCAATACAGAGAACAAACCAAAGAAGAAGGACAATTACAAAAGGTCCTTCAACTAAAATACGTTTACAATATGGCACGGTTCAACAAACCAATATGTTGAATTTGTGTTAATCCAATCCTCCAATACTGAGAATTATCTCCAGCCACTCCCTAAAATTCATGTCTCTGTAGAAAGAGGTGGAATTGTTTTCTCTTTTGTTGTCTTTGTGGAGAAGAGGAGGTAATAGCGGCAACAAATTAGATATTTTGGGTCCAACAGGTCTCGATTGCTATTTCACGAGGCAATCCATATTGATGTAATGAAAGTGAGGGACCCATGACAATTACAGAATGCGCCGAATAAGTAACTCGTTTTCCATTAGTTAACATATAAGTTTAAGTTTTTAACAGAAGTGATTATTTGTTATCTAACCATAGTACAATGGCCTCTTTTATTAGAAGTATGGTATAAGAGCTTATTTGTTAAGTTTGTATAATACAAGGGCTTGTACGACGGGAAATGTTCTAGTCGGTAACTTTATGGTCAATAACTATGCATAATCATGCACTTACAATTCATGGAAGGTCTCTTGCTATTCCCCATTTAATTTTAGCAAACTATTTCTATTTCATTTCAAGTCGAAATTAAAATTTATTTGCACCGAAAAATTAAATTAATTGTGTTCTTCAAAATGAAATCCACTTTGATATACTTTGAAACAAAAAATTAACACTTTTAATAACAGTCTGTACCATGTGGTACTGTTTAGTATGTACTTAAGGTTATACCATGCGTTATGGAAGTGTACCAAGGTAGTATGCATATATGCTAGTGTAGAATGGTTGCATACATGGTGATATGAATATTTGAACTATCAATAACCACATTTCATCATTGTATACCACTAGTTACCACCCTACTATACCAGGGTGGTATATGTGGTCATGAAAAAATTTCCACCGAAAATTTGTAGATCCAATAGATTACGATGAACATTTTCCTTCTGGGCAGAATTTTTCAAAATTCGAGTTAAAAATGAAGGTGGTACCATGTGGTAACTAGTGTTATGAAATTTTTTACTCAAAATATTGAAAATTGATCTCGTTTTGTAGATCACAACGAACTCGTTATATCTATGCAAATTATTTTAAAAATGCAAGTTATAACGAAGAAGATAAAAATCAATTAAGAAAACTATGAAAAATAAAAATAAAAATAAAAGTCGATTAAGGAAACCATCAGATTTGATCCGACTTAAAATGAAGCATCCATAATTCCATATATGAATATACAAGGTTATGCACCTTATTTTCATATTAGCGAAATGTGAATGGAAGTGCATATAGCTCACTTTCATATTTGTTAATGGTCTGGGCCTATAGCCCACACTGTTGAGAGTCCACAAACTGGGTCCACCAAGCTGCACAAGAACTAGCAATGCAGAGCTCAAAATCGTTTAGCGGTCTTACATTTCGATTCAACTTCCCTTACTCCCGTCCCCCCATTTTCCCCTGCGAAACCCTAAATCGGAGAGATGTGGTTCCTCCGGTGCCAACAAATGTCCATAACTTTCTAACCCAGTAAGTCTCCTCTGCTATTTGAGCGATTCCGGCGGTGGTGTTTGGATTTACGGCGGTGGGGGGTCATCTCTCTTTGCCCGGGACGCAGCGGTTGAGGTTCTCCAGAAAGCGTCTATGGAGAGCAGCAGCAAGTTAGGGAAAGCTCGAAAAGGGCGTCGTAACAGGTTAAGCCATCTTCCTGAACCGATTATTTACCACATCCTTTCATTTCTCGACACCAAACTCGCCGTCCAGACCTCTGTGTTGTCCCGATCATGGCGATGCGCTTGGAAACATGTCGCTGTCCTCGATCTAAACACAGCTTCCTTCGAGCGGTATTCGCGTTTCGAAAGGTTTGGGGACAAGGTGATGTCCCTCCGCTATCCCCTTAGTCTCCGCAAGGTCTGCTTCGTCGACGAGGAGATTATGCACAAACGACGGGATCATCCCCTGTTCGAGAGGGTCATCGAACATGCCTTCTCCCACGATGCTCAACATGTTGTGATTGAACTCGAACATGAGTTGGAGCTCGAGGAGAATTTCGACTTCTCCCGTTTGTTTTGCTCGGTCACGAACAGCAGCAATGTCAAAACTCTGGAACTGAGATGGGTGAAGCTCGACTACAAATCTGAATTCTCTGGTTTTAGGTCCCTGACGACTCTGAATTTGTACTGTTGCTGGCTGGATGCTGGGGATGTCTTCTCTGATTCTAATTTCCCTTGTCTGAAGAATTTGGCCATCGAGAAGTGCGAATGCTTTTGCTATACGGGTTGCATATCGGGGCTCCATTTGCTTAGCTTGAAGCTTTTACCTGTGCCTTTTGAGCAACTTGAAGTATGTGCACCAAAGCTCAAATTCTTGAGCTTTTGCACAAATGAGGTATCTCAGGAGCTGTCAAAGTTAAGCCTTCCTTCCCTTGAGCATGCTGAAGTCGGCGGGTACTTTCCGTTTGGGCTCCGCGACATAAGAGAGCAACATTTGATCTCTTTATTCCATGATTTGCATAATGTTAAATCTCTGACGCTGCATTCCCAGACCGTGAAGGTATGCAATGCATTATTCCCTTTGTGCTTTTAATGTGTAGCATTCTAATTTATGTAAAAAATGGTGTCTTGTAGCAGATAGATTACCTTGGAGATTGTAAGGTTGAGAGGTCCTTTTATGTGCAGGTACTGAGTAGGATTTCTGGGGTTCTGGAACAGCAACCCGCTCCTTTTACGAGATTGACGTATTTGAAGTTGTTTTCGCGGTCTTACAATGTACCTTTCGAAGTGGTCAATTATTTTCGCAAAGGATCGCCTAGTGATGAACTGCAAATCGAGTTCGTTGATGAACGAGAGTAGACGGCTTTCGCCGTCGTTTCTGATTGTGGGTAAGGTAGCAGGAGGATCAAGGTTCTATCGATATAGCTAGTGGATATCAGTTGGAGGACCTAGGGTATTCTATCCATATCTTTATCGTTGTGAAGAACATATTACTTGTGAAGGTTTTTTTTGGAGTACAATTTTGAATGCTCCCGTTTGTTTGGCTCAGTCGAGAATAGCAATGTCAAAACTCTAGGACTAAGATGAGTGAAGCTCGATTATATATCTCAAAACTCTGGTTTTAGAGACGGCTATGAATTTGTACAATTGCTGGCTGGAAGTTCTGGAACCTTGGAATTGGCTATGAGGATGGTGTTATGCGCACCGAAACTCGAATCCTCCAAACTAGGGCATGACTTGCAATTGTTTGAATTCCAAAAACACAAGCCCTGCTTCCCTCGTTCAGGCTCATCTTCGGCCTTGTGATGGGGGAACCCGAGAGGGACGATAATAAGGAAGTAAGGATCTCATGCTTTAACGTCTGATCTCCATGTTCAAAGGTTTGAAGAATGTCAGATCTCTCTCAGACTGGATCACCAAACTGTCCGGGTATTTTAGTGGAGTGATTGTGATTGCATGCTCATCACTTTCACCCTCAACTGTTGCTAAACTAATAGGAAGCTTATAATGTTTACAATGTAACCTAACTTTAATCTCATAGAGAAGCAGATGCAGCTATGGGCTATGGCACATGGTAGCGTGGCATCACCTGCTACTTCTCCAAGAATGAGCCATCTCTCTGAGGTACACCCAAAGTTAATGAAGAAAATCTGTCCAAAACACACTGTGGCAGAGTGTGGAGCTGAAACTGAAATTGGAATAGGAAGTGGAAGCGTGTTGGGATTTGGGAGAGGACAGGCGGTGAAATCAATCGACCCTCAAAGGCCAAAGCTCGCGAGTCGCGAGTGCACCAATCGAGCTGAACACTGGCAGGAATCATGGCCGGTGGCGTGCTTGGCAGAAGGTTTTGCCCACCGATTCCGTGTGCCAGCAACCAAAGGAAGGGTGGTAAGGAGAGGGAACTGCTGAGCGTACGGAAGCTGCAGGGAAGGGAAAAGCGCAGCAGTGGGCGTACGGACGGTAAGGGGGCGGCAATGGCGTCCGCTGGAATCGGGGAAGACCATGCCGGCTCAGGGAACGGAGGTGTGTGGGAGTTGGCCTAAACGACGGAATTGGGCGTCTGCAGGTAAGGGAAATAGGATAGCTCTCAATACCTACACTAAAAGTATGGTCAGATGGTCTTGACCGGTCTGACTCCAACTATCACCGGTTGCCGGCAAATCTCTTTTTCGTCGGAAAATCAATTTTTTTCGCCTTTTCTTTTACTTATAAACTGTTCCCGCGTCTATAAAATAAAGAGCTTGATGAGAGACTTAGATCATATATATGTGCTTTTAGCATTTTACCTTCTTCCCTCTCCCCTTTGCTCCGTTTTCCTCTTCGATTACGCTCCCACGTCGACCATCACTGACCACCGCCGCCTCCGCCGCGGACTCTCTCCACCGCCGGAATTCCGCAACTCGCTCACGAGCCACCCACGCTTCATAGCTGCACCGACCAACCACTATTTGCAGTTAGTCATATTCTCCCTCCCAACTGAAGTCCCCTTTCCCTTTTTCTGTAGCGAAACCCTAAAAAAAATTCGCTGGAACCTATAGTGTGGCATTCATCGGAACAGTTATCCTCTTTGCTGGTGGAAATGGTGATCCATTTTAACCCTCTTGATTTCGTTCCTGATCCGTACTATTTCTGGTCATAGGCTCTGTTGTTTCCTGCTTCAAAAAAAAAAAAAAACGCCATGTTTGAGTTTGGGGAAGCTGGAAAAAGGACTGTTGAAGAAGAAGACGATGATGCTACAGACAGGTTAAGCCATCTTCCAGACTTCATTATTCACAACATCCTTTCATTTCTGGACACCAAATCAGTCGTTCAGACCTCCGTATTGTCCCGATCGTGGAGCTCCACCTGGAAGCATGTCCCTGTCTTCGATCTTCGTAGGGATTCTTTCCAGCATTACTCGAGTTTTCTTAGCTGCGTGGACAAGGTTTTGTCTCTCCACCATCCTCTCAATGCCCGCAAGGTGAGCTTACACCGACGACGAGAGCTCGGAGGACAGAGACCCTGATCTGTTGATTGGGCTAATCCAAGCTGCGGCTTCAGGTCAGACTACTCAACATTTGGTGATTAGCTTGAAAGACTATGGGGATCATCGAGTTTTCAGATTCTTCGAGCTGTTCGGCTCGATCTTGAATTCCAATTTCGAAACTCTGGAACTGAATGGCGTCCCCTTGGATAGGGGATATGAATCGACTGGTTTTCGGTTGCTGACGAGGCTACATTTAGACAATTGCCTGATGGTTTGTACTTTTAAAGGGGATCTTGATCCTTTTTCTGAATTCCCATGTCTGGAGAACCTTGTCTTGAGTGATTGCACCAGTTGTGGGATTCTCAGGGTCTTCGGGCCGAACTTGCTTAGCCTTAAACTTGGGCGTATGTGTCCGGACATTGAAGTATTTGCCCCGAAGCTCAGGTTCTTCAGTCTATGGAATGACTGGACGCTCTTACATTTCTCAAGCTTAAGCCTTCCTTCCCTCGATCATGCTCACATCCAATTTCATGTCTGCGGCATAAAGGATGACTGGGTAGAGCGAGCATTGATCGTCTTGTTCCAAGGTTTGCATAATGTGAAATCTCTGAAGCTGCATCCCTGGACCATTCAGGTATATACTTTTGACTAAGTAAATGCTGCAAATGGTAAGTGGTTCCTTCCACCTTGGATGTTAAGTTGGGGTTTTTTTTTGGTTCTATGTAGGTACTGAGTGAATTGTATGAGTTTCTTGAACAACAACCCTGTCCCTTTACGAGATTGGAGTTGCTGATTGTGGAAGCTGACGGTAATTCCTTCTCAACTGGTCGATTACTTTTTCAAAGGAACTACTGCTGAACCAAAGATCAAGTTAATGGGGACTAAGTATTCACCACTTTGACATAGCAGGTTGGTTTTCTTTATTTGTTTTCAAGACACTTGGGAATAGTCAAAGAGCTTTCTGATCCAAGTTGATATGTCTATATATTTGGTAATGATTGGCGCTTTCTTCTTGTTCGTTATTTGTTATGCAGCTATGCTTCATGTCTAGTAAGAAGTGGAGCTCGTAGCTTTTGCATTTGCTGCCTGCCAAGGAGCTTGGAGCTGCTGGGTTTTCGACCTTTGCCTCGTTACAAAAGGCCCTCCTAGAAACCCCAATCCTATCTTATTTTGGTGTCTGGTAAACTGACTTGTGTTCCAAACGAGAATCTATTGCTGAAGTTGAAAAAAGCACAGCTACTGTATTCCTAGTTTGAATGTCTGAACCATGTCGTATGAATATGCAGGCTTGTTAAACAAAAAAAATAGTGTTTACAACCTAAACTTTCATGTGGGCCTATCATTTCAGTCTTAATAATGGGCCTGTTCAATTGAGCCCTTGACCGACTAACTAGTCCGACTACAACCCAAATAAAGCGAAGTCTATTCAAACCCGCTTCGAGAAAGGAAAAAAAAGAAACCGGCGTGACTTTAAATACCGGTAAACCTTCGACGATCTGAAAAAAAAAAAAAAGGCAAACGATCTATCTTCATCCCGTCGAAAATCTACGCCGATTTCCTCTCTCAGTCACAGTTCAGTAATGGCGACTGCCATGGTGGAAGACACAACTTTCGAGGACGACCAGTTATCGTCCATGTCCACTGACGACATCTCCAGAGCTTCCAGGCTTCTAGACAACGAGATTCGGATTCTGAAGGTGAAAGTTCGGATCTTTCGTTCCCCCGGCCCCCATCCCCGCCTTTTTTTCTTCTCTCTCGATTTGAACTGCCATTGTTTTTAGCTCCGTGCTCAGGTTTCCTTTTCCCGGGGCTGAATTAGGTTTTTTTTTCTTTTGATCTGGTAGGAAGAGTTGCAGAGGACGAATCTCGAATCGGAATCCTACAAGGAGAAAATAAAGGAGAATCAAGAGAAGATTAAGCTCAACAAACAGCTTCCTTACTTGGTTGGAAACATTGTCGAGGTATGTATATACTTTTTAGCCAATTAGGGACCTTCCATTGTTGTGCTTGCTTGATTGATTCGCCAATGGTGTTAATATACTCAGAGTTTGGGTTTCCGTGTTGGGGTTATTGTAGATTCTGGAGATGAACCCAGAAGATGATGCAGAAGAAGATGGTGCTAACATTGACCTCGACTCGCAAAGAAAAGGGAAATGTGTAGTCCTAAAGACATCTACTCGTCAGGTGTGGAGTCTATCTCTCTCTCACTTTTCCTATTTGATAGAATTTTCAGAACTCGTTTGCCTATTCTGTGTTCTTTAAATGATTGAACTTGTTTGTTCCTTGCACAGACAATTTTCCTTCCTGTGGTTGGTTTGGTTGACCCTGACAAGTTGAAGCCTGGTGACTTGGTTGGAGTTAACAAAGACAGCTACTTGATCCTTGACACTTTACCGTCCGAGTATGATTCCCGAGTAAAAGCCATGGAGGTTGACGAGAAGCCCACCGAGGACTACAATGACATTGGAGGGTTGGAAAAGCAGGTATGCATCTGTTTTTTCTTAGTATGCTAGATTGTAATTCGATATATGCCTAATCGTTGAGCATTCCTTAAGCAATATGCCATTACCAAAACTGCAGATTCAAGAACTAGTAGAGGCCATTGTGTTGCCCATGACTCACAAAGAGAGATTTCAGAAGTTGGGCATTCGCCCCCCGAAGGGGATTCTCTTATATGGCCCTCCCGGTACTGGTAAAACATTGATGGCTCGTGCCTGTGCTGCACAAACAAATGCCACTTTTCTAAAGCTGGCTGGTCCACAACTCGTCCAGGTGTGGTTTCCTCGATTCATTTCTCCATCCCTTTTTCTTAGTGTCTTTCCCTTGTGGAGAATGAGAATTTCTTGATTTAAACTGAGTGATTGAGAGTTCTTGTTGTGGTATAGATGTTCATAGGTGACGGAGCGAAACTTGTCCGAGACGCATTTCAGCTAGCAAAAGAGAAGTCACCGTGCATCATTTTCATTGACGAAATTGATGCAATTGGGACAAAGCGTTTCGATAGGTATGCTGTTTCTTTTACATGATTCCATGGTGTCTCGATCCCCTTGTGTTATTGGTGTATGTTGAAATATCTCAACTTGTTTGGTCTGCAGTGAAGTAAGTGGTGATAGGGAGGTACAAAGGACGATGTTGGAATTGCTTAACCAGCTTGATGGATTCAGCAGTGATGACAGAATCAAGGTTTGTTCTAGCCCTAGCAACTTTTGCCAGTTAGCTCTAAGGCTTGCTTATAGTGATTAACAAAGCCCCCTTTTTTAAGGTGATTGCTGCTACGAATCGAGCTGATATCTTGGACCCTGCTCTGATGCGTTCTGGTCGTTTGGATCGTAAGATTGAGTTCCCCCATCCAACTGAAGAAGCTAGAGCCCGGATCTTGCAGGTTTGTTATACCCTAATACGTTTTTAATTGCAGAACCATATGATGAAAAATACTGACAGTTCATGGTTATCCAATGAATGTAGATCCACTCGAGGAAAATGAACGTTCACCCTGACGTCAACTTCGAGGAACTGGCCCGTTCGACGGATGACTTCAACGGGGCACAGCTGAAAACTGTGTGCGTGGAAGCCGGAATGCTTGCTCTTCGGCGGGATGCAACGGAGGTGAATCATGAGGATTTCAATGAAGGCATAATCCAAGTGCAAGCCAAGAAGAAAGCAAGCTTGAATTACTATGCATGAGTGAGTGGTGCACAAGGAGCAACTCCTGCAAAACTCAGCCACTTATTCTGCAGTATTTGAAACAAATTTGGTACGGTGTCGGAATATCCTAAATATCGATAGCAAACTACAGATCCTTCTAAGTAGTCGTTTTGAGCTGTGATGAACATTGAGCACTATGTGTTGCGAGTATGACAGAGCAGTGCGATGTTGGTTAAGCAGCTTATGGAAATTTGGGGGTTAGTAGAAGGGAAGAGGCTCACCCCGGAAAAGGGAATACCATTTTCACAAGTAATAGTAGGGGTGAACAAACGCACCCGCAAACCGTCCAATCCGATCCAACCCACCCGTATTTATCGCTAAAACGAAGGTTTTGGGTTGGGTGAGGATTTTCTTTTGCACAACCCGCCTCTTTTGGGTTGGGTTTGGATTTTTTATTACACAACCCGTAGAACCCGACCCAACCCGTGTTCCAATTATTGGTATGAGTTCGTAACCAAAAAAAATATTTATGTCGTATATAGTCATACTTATGAGAAAATTGAGATATTTTGTCTTGTTTTTCTCTTAAGGTCTCCCTAATCTAATGCATTTTTCGGCTTAAAGTTTAGACATAAATTTAATATAGCTATGATTCACATAATTTTTTTTCTTGTGTACAATTTTAATTTAATAATATATTTTGGATGCGTTCATTTGTAACCTTTTTAGCCTATTTCAACAAATGTCATGAAAAAACTAGACATAAATTGAAGTAAATCAAATTTTATTAAAATTCAAACAACATTTGTGAATTTTGATACCTTTCACCTTGGTTTATTCGTTTGAATTTTTAATTAGTTATAAAATATTTTTATGATGTAGAATAATTACATATTTTTGTGTTGGGTTGGGTTTTTACTTATAAATATCGCCAACCCGACCCAACCCAATTAGAAACAAACCGTAGGGTTTAGATTTTTTTGAGTGGGTTTGGGTTTAATATTTCCTAAACCATAGTGCATGGATCGGGTGATTAAAATGTCTAAACCTGGACCACCTAACCCATGTACACCCCTAAATAATAGGGCCTGTAACGCCATATTTGCTCTCTTTAGTAATTAGTCTATTTTTAGTCTCGGCTCTTCAATTCAATATAGTTACCTGAACCTGAGAACTGGGATCTGTGTTCAATCATAAAACCAAAGTCAATCTTTTCTTGATAGTTTTATATATAAATAATGTATGAATTAACTTTTGAATGGTTTTTTTATTTTTAAAAATAAATTAATAATTAAATATTAATGGATCAGGAGGTGGTGGTGGTGTGAGCTTATCAATGTAACATAAATATTTTTAAACTTTAATAATTTTTAATTGACACCTCCATATCGTTTGGTACCAAATGAGTTTAGAATTCATTTCATTTTAAAATGAATTACCTTATAGAAATCATTGTCAAATGAATTATTGTGTTTGGTATGTCATATTCAAATCTTAAGAAAAAAAATGAATTGAATTCCCAAACCATGTTTGGTGTACGTCTGTAATTGAATTGAATTAAAAGTTTCCAACTACGCCCTTATTAATTTTTGCTAGAAATAATATTCATTGAAAATCCATCTGCTAAAAAATGCTTTTTATCCCATACGTAGAATATCAAAGTGTTCTTGTGTGTTTCTATTCATTAGTTCTTTCGATATTTTGTCAATGAACCCTACATTCTAGTTGTGGCTTCTCAACATACTGATATAATCAAAACGGAAATATCAAATAACCAGAATATGCTACTAGCGCTGCAATCAAATTCTTGCCGACGTTCCTCATATTGCATGAACTGGTGTCAAATAATACATGTAGAATTAGTTTAGTTAATAAATTAGTATAATTATGTAATTTTGTTATAATTAGTAAATTCTTGTGGAATTCATTTGAAAATTCCATCTCAATTTCTCAGAGTTGCTATCATTAGCTCCAATTCCGTAGAATTCAAAATTAGAATTGGAAATGAATTCTTTTAAATAAATAAATAAATAAAAATCTATGTAAACGGTTAAATACAATTCCCCTCAAATTTATACTTTTATATATTTTTTAATTGAAAATGCTACATTCAGAAGAAGAAAAAAACGATAATCCTTCCTACCAAAAAAAAAAAACGATAATTACAGTACTGTTGTACAGAAGGGGAATCTACTTATTGTTTTCCCGATGCTCTGCTCTGCTTTGCTTGCTGGCTTGACATTGGGAGTTTTTGTTTGACTGGTTGCTTGACTCAGAGAGAGACAGAGAGGTTTCTATTTCATTTATGGCGTCATAACGTGTCAGAAACCAGCCATTGAAACTTTTTGACTGTCTACAGTACATCTGTTTGCTTGTTGACAGACACTCAAACTCGTACTACTAGATTTCATTTTGCCAGGAAGAGTGGAACTTTGACTTCTTCTTCTTTTTTTAACGGAAGGATAACTGATTCTCAAGAGCAAGACGGATGATGAAATTGTACGATGATTGACCAATGAGTTTACTCTCCCAAGCCAAATAGTTGTAAGTTGTAATTAGGGTTTGGACATGTGGGTTGTTGATCTGCGTTTTAACATTGATCGATCCACAAATATCTCAAATGGCTGGCTATGCATGGGTAATTGTCTAATTGATGTGGGTATATTGTAGTTCAGTAAATCTCTTGCCCGCACTTACTCAGGTTGGGAGTGAGCGAGTTGCGAACTTGCGAGTTACCAAATGACCCGCAAAACAATTTCACACTATCTTGTCATCCATCAAATCCAACCAGAAGAAGATTGCGTGTGGATAGCGGGTCACATTATACAAACACGTTAGTAAACAGATTAGTCAATTTGTGACCAAAAACCGCACCCAACAAACCCAATGTCCACCTCTAATTGTAATTGTAGGTCTAAACTAATTTGGAGGTCGCTTATATAGAGTAATTGGATGAGATAATTTGATTCAATTGACTAATATTGAGATAATTTAGACAAATTGTCCTGATTAGATATACTAAAGTTGGATGGATTAATTTGACTGGAGGAATTTCAAATTGCTCTATTTTAATAAAATTATTATTCTGTGAGTAAATAAAATTTAGGCAAAATACATTTGTGTAGTCAAAACTTTCATGTTTGTGCCACTTTTAGCCACTTTTAGCGAAATACCACTTATAGCCACTTTTGAAAGATGCTGCGTGCCAGATATAGTCATTTCCGTTAGAAACTATAACAGTGTTAATCACACCGTCAACTTATTTGATGGTCGGCTGACGATGCGCCAATTCAGTGGACACGCCAGCGACAACTAAGCAAATAGTGACACTTCAAATATTTAAATTATGTATTATTTAAAAAATAAAAATTCTATCTAAAAAATTTACCCTTATATTCCCACCTGATTCTCACGAGCCACGATCCTTCTTCCCCAACTTTTGGCCGAAATCGAAATTAGGGTTCTTCCCCAAATTTCCTCTTCTCCACAAATCATCTTCCACATTCGTCTATTACTCCTCCCCATTACCCACCAATCTTCTTCTACTTTCTGAACGATTCGGTGATTACTCCTCTTCCCGCAAATCCTTGCTTCCTCCTCCACCGCAAATCCCCCTGCAGTAGTTTCCCAATGAAAAGAGACCCAATATACGGCCTCGGCTCCTCGCCAACGTTGCCACGACAACGTCTCTGAGAATAAAGGGAAATATAAGATTCACCCGACAGTCGAACTCTCTTTTGCACAGAAGCAGAAAACCAAATTCGAAAATAGGAATGACAAGGCCGGCCCAGAACAAAATCGACACCAAGATTGGAAACTTCTTCTTGGCCACTCTGCTGTTGTGGTCGGTTTCAGTTGGGTTCGAGATTCTCTTCAACCACCGAACCGAGCTCCAAGTCATCCTCGCCGGCGCTGCCTTCTTCCAAATCGCCAACTTGTCTAGATCTCCTCGGACAACAACCTAGTACCCTAATTGAAAATTTGTGTTGGGGTCGTCGATTGTGCAAGTTATATTGGGAGCGGATTGTGTAGGGAAGAGATGCTGGTTCAGCGGTCGGCTGGTTGGTGGAGAGAGGGAGAGCTTCTTCTCTGCGATCCCTTCTTGTCCAGCCCGTAAGCATTTGCAGCGACGTTCGGCTCGTTAGATGAGGAGAAGAAGGAGATGGGATCTGGAGAGAATGAAGGTGATGTGATGGTGGAGGAAGAGGACGGAGGCGATGATGGAGCCGAAGAATCCATGGAATCGGGGTAAGCTACGGCGATGGTGGTGGTGACGAGCTGCGGTGGGCAGCGGAAGTAGGTTGGCCGACGGAAGGAGTGAGCGGCTGGTGGGTTGCTTGAGGAGAAGAAGCTGAGATTAGGGACAGTGAGAAGAAGCGTGATATTTTTTTTCTTCGTTGAATCAGTTGCTTTTATTTCCATAAAATAAGGTAACCGATACAACGAAGGGGGCTCCAAGTAGGAGGTCCCAGAGAGTTCACTCAACTAAACCAGACTATCCTCACTTGCACTCAGTATAAGTAATACTTACAATTCCCAAAGATAAAGCCTATAAGTAACCAAGACGAACAAAAGCATCACGAATCCCTCTATCCCCATGAGATATGAACATTAAGTCTGCACGAATAAGATTAGCAATGAGGTCTGGTGTTCGACATAAGATACCATGAACCACTCGGCAACGTTCCTTCCAGATATAGGACACTGTGATACACCACAGAAGCGCATGCCACTGCCCAGAATGAGAATCCCTGCCAATTGCCCCTGTGGTAAACCGTATCATTGCATCCCAGTTCTGAAAATTCAAACGAGGAAAGTGCTGCAGCTCATAAAGTCTTTGAGAAAATCTGCAGCAGAGAAATAGGTGCTCACGATCTTCTACTCCAGTACCACAAAGCGGACAGGTAGCATCTTTGGTTTTCCCCCATTTCAGTAACTTGTCTCGAGTGGTGATAGCATTTCCCATTATCAACCAAGAGATCAAACTAAATCTAGGAGGACAGTACCTGTTCCATATGAGCTTATGCCAATGGACATTGGGAGCCCTCTTGCGTAGTGTTTCCCACACTCTCTTGACTGAATAAACCCTCATCTCCTATGACTCCCAAAGGATGATACCATTTTGCTGCTGTATCCATGGTGAAATAACACCACGCAATTTTAGCAGTCTCCGCCAAACCCATGAACTACTATACTGCACTTTAACTGACCAGAGGTCACCATGCCGGCATTTATACTCTGCCATCCATGCAACCCACAGAGCCCCAGATTTCATAAGAAACAACCAGAGCAGACGAGCAGAACAAGCTTGATTCCATGCCACCAGATCCTTTATCCCAAGTCCACCTTCCCTCCTAGGCAAAGCCACAGAATCCCATGCCACCTTAGCTCTACCCACATCATTCCAATGCCATAGAAAGTGAGAGCAAACCTACTGAATCCTCTTCAGTGCCTTCTTTGGGAGCACAAAGAGTTGCATCCGATACTGTACCACTCCAAGCAAAACTGAATCAATAAGTTGCAATCTACCAGCATATGTTAATTTCTTGGCACGCCATGATTTTATCCTCTTAGTTATCTTGTCAACAAGGATGTCAACATCTGTGGATGAGAGCTTCCCAGACATCAGGGGAAGTCCCAAGTATCTAACAGGCAAAAC